TGGGAATGGGAATGGGGATAGGAATGGGGATGGGAATGGGAATGGGAATGGGAATGGGGATGGGAATGAGGGTGGGAATGGGAATGGGGAATGGGGATGGGAATGGGGGTGGGAATGGGAATGGGGATGAGAATGGGGATGGGAATGAGGGTGGGAATGGGAATGGGGATGGGAATGGGAATGGGGGTGGGAATAGCAGTGAGAATGGGGATGGGAGTGGGAATGGGAACAGGGATGGGAACGGGGATGGGAATGGGGATGGGAATGGGGATGGGGGTGGGAATGGGGGTGGGAATAGCAGTGAGAATGGGGATGGGAGTGGGAATGGGAACGGGGATGGGAACGGGAAAGGGGACGGGGACGGGAATGGGATTGGGAATGGGGATGGGAATGGGGATGGGAATACCAGTGAGAATGGGGATTGGAGTGGGAATGGGAACAGGGATGGGAACGGGGATGGGAGTGGGGTATGGGGAATGGGGGTGGGAATGGGAATGGGGATGGGGATAGGAATGGGAACAGGGATGGGAATGGGAACAGGGATGGAAGTGGGAGTGGGAATGGGGGTGGGAATGGGAGTGGGAATGGGTGTGGGGAATGGGTGTGGGAATAAGGATGGGAATGGGGATGGGAATGGGGATGGGAATAGCAGTGAGAATGGGAATGGGAACGGGGATGGGAATAGCAGTGAGAATGGGAATGGGAACGGGAATGGGAACAGGGATGGGAATAGCAGTGAGAATGGGAATGGGAACGGGAATGGGAACGGGGATGGGAATAGCAGTGAGAACGGGAATGGGAACGGGGATGGGAATAGCAGTGAGAATGGGAATGGGAACGGGGATGGGAATGCCGTGGGCAGCCTGTGGGGATTTTCATCCCAACTTCTGCCATGCCTGGCACAGATCCCAGCTTTGGAGCAGGTGCCAGAGGGATAATTAGCGACAGGCAGTCGGACACGGCTCGGATCCGCCGGGACACGGGAGAAAAGCTTCCATCAATAATTCACCGGGAGCAGATTCCTTTCGGCTCCGAGCCCTGTCCTGGCCATGAATATTTCAAGGACAGCCCCTATCGGATGGAGCTTCCTGGGATCTCACTTTCCAGAGGGTTGGGAGCTGGGCTCAGACAGGTTTTTTGGCAATTCCTGAGCTGCCTCTGGAAGTGCCCATCCCTCTTGGCTTTTCCTGGGAATTTAAAGGGTGAGTCTATGTCGGTGAATAAATAATGGGATTGTACAATCCCGGAATGGTTTGGGTAGGAAAGGGCTTTAAAGCTCATCCCATTCCATGGGCAGGGACACCTCCCACTATCCCAGGTTTTCCAGCCTGGCCTTGGACGCTCCCAGGGATCCAGGAGCAGCCACAGCTTTTCTGGGAATTCCATCCCACCCCCTCCCCATCCTCACAGGCAAGAATTCCTTCCCAATATCAAATTTTTTCCAGTTCTTTTCTGTTTTCCTCACTGGAACACAAGTCCAGCTTTTTGAAGGATCCTGCCCTGATTCCAACATCCTCCCGTCTCCTGGGATTTGTTTTTTTAAATCCAGGTTGGATTTTCTTAGCTCTTTATTTCCCCATTCTGGATCCTTCCCTGCGGTTTTGTTTTTCATGGATGTGTCTGGTTTAAGTTCCCAAGGGATCAAGGAGCCAAAGCCATTCCGGGGACGTGGCACATGGGAAGGCTCCACCTCCCATTCCTGGCTCCTTCATCCCTGGATTCTGTGTGGGATGAGCAGATTCCAAACTTGGGATCCCACAGGGAAACACAGAAATGGAATTTAACAGATCCAAGTCTCGGTGTCTGGATTTAAGGAATTTTCTTTGGAAAGCGGAACTTTGTGGGTGGATCAGCTCTGGAAGGAGTGGGGGGGATCTGCTGTGGGAATTTACCTGGAATGCTGATCTTCTTCCGCTTCGTCTCCAAGGCTTGGGAATTTACAGGGAGAGAGGAAATGTGAGGATAAAGGGCTCTTCCATTGTTTTATAAACCAGGAAAAACTTGGGAACACTCCGGCACAGCAAAGCACTCCATGCACGGCTGGAATCCCAGGATCTCCCCATACCACTTCCCGTTGTGTCCACAGGATCCAGGCTTGTCCCAGACTGGATTTTGGGGGATATTTGGCCAATATTACAATTTTTCCAAGCGGTTCCCTCCTGCCTGACCTCCTTTTCCCACTCCCTCCTTTTCTTTGGGATGGATTTGCTCAAATCCCAAAGGAAAAGTGGGAATGGGCGGGTGCTGTACCCTGTGCCAGGATTCCTGGAAGGAGGAAAGGGGAATTCCCAGCCCTTGGAAACCCTCGGGAAGCCCTGCCATCATCCCAGTGATGGAAACCCCTTCCCATCCCTTGGAAATCTGCAGGATTGCTTCATGGGGGGCGGTCCTGTTTGCACAGAAATTCCCCAAATTTGGGGAAATTCCCAAAAGCAGAGACATCCACGTGGATCTGCGGACACGGGAAGGTCGCACGTTCCCTGGGAAAGAGGGAGAGAAGGTGGAGAATTCCCTGTGTTCCCAAAGGACCAGCCTGGATCCAGGAGAAGCTGGATCTGCTTTCCCTGGAATCGGCAGCTCCGCAGGAGAATACCCAAAATCCTTGATGTGGATGCTCTGCTCCATGGGAATGGGACACGGCTGTCCCGGATCTGCTGGAGAGGGATCTTCCTCTGCTTCCAGAGCTGCCAAAGTCCAGGATCTCCAGGCTCAACCCTCTCCAGGATGTCCGTGCCCAAATCCCAGGGGATTCTCCAGGCTGGGAGCGGGGTGGGAGGAAGGCACAACGGGAGAGGGAATGCCTGGGATTGTGGGATTAATCATGGAAAAGATGGAAGTGGAACCAGGTCCCCGTGCCCGGGAACAGATTTTGGATAAGGGATGGAATGCCAGGAAAAAAGAGGGATAGGCTTTAAGCTGCCGAGGGATGGATTCAGATGGGATTTTGGGAAGGAATTCTTCCCTGAGAGGGTGGGGAGGGGGTGGGATGGAATTCCCAGAAAAGCTGTGGCTGCTCCTGGATCCCTGGAAGTGTCCAAGGCCAGGCTGGACATTGGGGTTTGGAGCAGCCTGGGATAGAGGGAAGTGTCGGGATTGGAAAGGGATGAGCTTTAAGGTCCCTTCCCACCCAGAATATTCCATGGTTCCACAATTCCCCGTCTCCAAGGCTGTGGAATGGGCTGGCCCATGGTCCCTGAGGCTGCTGCTGGGACATTCCAGGGACAGGGAATTCCATGCTTTGTTCATCCCACTTTTCCTTGTGCATCCCACTGTCCTTTTCCGCCCCCATCTCGGCACACAAACCTTCCGTTCATGTGGAAAACAGGGAATCCAAAGGGATCCCTGGGCTGGAGGAAGGACAGTGGGAATGGGATTGGGAATGGGATTGGGAATGAGGATGAGGAAGGCTGAGACAGGGCCCAGCAGGACTCCTCCTCATCCCACTGAATTTCCTGGCATGCAGGTCTGGAAACACCAAAATTCCTATTTTTATTCTTCCGATCCATATTTTTCCCATTTCTGGGATCTGTAAGTGATGGAGAAGGAAAGGCCTTCCAAAGGAGCTGGGGCATTTTTGTTCCCAAAGGAATTTTAGCCAAAACCCTTCCCTGAATTCCAAAGGATGGTTCATATCCAAGCGCCTTTGGATTCTTCCCAAAAGCTGGATTATGGAACCTATTACCTTTCTTTTCTTTTATTCCCACTTTTTTTTGGGGATTCCTGGTAAATCCCAGCACGTGTTTGCTACAGCCCAAACCAGGCATTCCTTGGAGCAAAATCCTCCAGGAATTCTCAGTGAAAACAGGGATAAAACCCCGTGGATGCCCCCCTGAGACCTGGGAATTGTTTGGGATGGGGGATAAACCTTTCCCATCCCAGGGAATTCCCTGTCTTTCCGGTATTCCCTGCACCATCCCCTTCCTGCTGCTTGTATGGATACCTCTATTCCTGAAATAGGGGATTTATCCCTAAAAACCTCGTTTAAATGGCTCGGCTTTGGGAATCTCCCTCTCCCAACTTCATCCTGGCTCATCCCTGAATTCCATGAGGAAAGGCTGGGGGAATTCCTGCCCCTCCCAGCCAGGATCGATCCAGCCTGACCGGGAATGCTGGGATGGATGATCCGGGATGATCCCGGACTCTGCCCTGATAGCCAACGGAATCCATGGCCCAGCCAGGGAAAAGGCAGGATGGGATAATGGGATAATGGGATAATGGGATTCTGGGATAATGGGATAATTAATGGGATAATGGGGTTATGGGGTTATGGGATAATGGTATTATGGGATTACGGGATCATGGGATAATGGGGTTATGGGATTATGGGATAATGGGATAATGGGATAATGGGATCCATAGGATCCATGGGATAATGGGATCCATGGGATGGGATAATGGGATGGGGTCCGTGGGATGGGGTCCATGGGATGGGATGGGATAATGGGATTCTGGGATAATGGGATAATGGGATAATGGGATTCTGGGAATCTGGGATTCTGGGATAATGGGATAATGGGATAATGGGATAATGGGATAACGGGATAACGGGATAACGGGATAACGGGATAATGAGATTATGGGATTCTGGGATAATGGGATAATGGGATAATGGGATAATGGGATAATGGGATAATGGGATCCATGGGATTATGTGATTATGTGATTATGAGATTATGAGATTATGGGATTATGGGATTATGGGATTATGGGATTATGGGATTATGGGATTATGGGATGGGATCCTTGGGATGGGATCCATGGGATGGGATCCTTGGGATGGGATCCATGGGATGGGATCCATGGGATGGGATAGGATGGGATAATGAGATGGGGTCCATGGATGGGATAATGGGATGGGATAGGATTGGATAATGGGATAGGGATGGGATTCATGGGATGGGATGGGATCCATGGAATGGGATCCATGGGATGGGATAATGGGATGAGATGAGGTCCATGGGATGGGGTCCATGGGATAATAGGATGGAGATGGGATATTGGGATGTGATGGAGATAGCATGGAGACGGGATATTTTCCATTGGAAGGGACCCACAGGGATCACCTGGTCCAACTCCACCCTATCCAGGGCAGAGCCAGGGTCAAATCCTGTTACAATGAGCCCCTCACGTCCTTCCTGCCATCCCTTATCCCACAGGAATTCAGGAGCTTTTCCCAAAATCCTCCTTCCTGTGGCCGAGCTCCTCCTGGGACGATCCTCGGGATTTTACCTGAAATTCCCTTCCTTTGGCTCCTTCCAAAAACTCTTTTGCCACTCCGAGAAAAACCACAGCAAACAAACTTCCATGCACACGCAGGGAGCTCATTCCCGTGGGAATGGCTGATCCCGGGATCTGGGAACAGGACATGGAGACAGAAGGGCACCTCAAAAGCACAGCAGTGTCCCAGCCCGTATCCCGATCTCCACCCGGAATCCCATTCCAAGGCTGCTTTTCTGCCTGTTCCATCACTTCTCCTCCCCACCAGCAGCCCAGGAATGGGAACTCGGGGACAATTCCTGTGGGAAATCCATCGGGAAAAGGCACGGAGCAGCAGAGCACTGCAGAGCCTCTCCCTACCTCGTGTCCAGGGATCCCTGGCTCAGGGAATCCCCCTCTCCCAGGAGCTCATCCTCGCTGTGGAAATACAGCTCGTCCTCTTCCATCCTGGTGGGAACACCGCAAACATCAGCCCGGCCCTTCCCGGGATTCAGCATTCCAAAATCGTGGAATCACTTTGGGTTGGGAAAGCTCTCCGAGTCCTACCACACCCAGCACTGCCCAGGCCACTGCTGATCCATGGGACACATCCACAGGGATTTGAAATGCCACCAGGGATGGGGGCTCCAGCCCTTTCCTGGAAGGAATTGTTCCCAGGATCCAACCTGGAGCCCCCGCCCAGGACACGCTCTGCACATCCCACGCTCGGCAATTCCACAACTCTTCCTAAAATGGGGCAGCCACGGCTCCTCCGGAAATTCCAGCCCAGACCCTGCCCGCCCTCCCAGCCAGGAATTCCTGCCCAAGACCCCAAAATCCCACCCCAAGCTCCCCTTTCCCACTGGAAGCCATTCCCTGGCTCCTGGCGCTCCAGCCCTTCCCCAAATTCCAGCTCTCCCGGAGCCCCTTTGGCATCAGGAAGGGGCTCTGAGCTCTCCCTGCATCCCTAATTTTCTAATTTTAGAGCAGCATCCCACAAGATTCCCACAGAAAACCCATCCCGGAGCCATCCCAGCAGTATCCCCCAATTCCCTGGAATCCCAGACCGGTTTAAGTGGGAAGTGACCTTAAATCCCATCCAGTCCCACCCCTGCCAGGGGCAGGGACACTTTCCAATATCCCAGGTTGCTCCAAACTCCATCCAACCTTCGCTTGGACACTTCCATGAGGGATTGGAGCATCCATCGTGCTCCCTGCATCCCGAAATTCCAGTGGCACAGGCAGGACTCGGATATCCCATCCCAGCCAGCCTTATCCCTGTCCTGGTTTGCAAGATTTGTGTTTTCTATATTTTCATCTCTCAGGGGTGGGACAGTTCTCTTCTGTTCATTTTTTTTTATCTCTTCCACAACCCATCCTCCCTCCAGGAGATCTCTTATGTTAATGGGCCATAATTATTAATTATCTTCTGTTCATGGGTTATTAATTATTAATTATCTTCTGTTCATGGGTCACTGAGTGTCCCTGCATGGCTGAGAAAATTCCATCATCCCACTGGGAGATGCTCTGCCCAGGGGAGGAGCCAAGCAATTCCTACTTGGACACAATCTGAGATTTTGGGATACCACAGCAGCCTTCACCCCTGCATTCCCAGAGGAGCAGCTTCCTTCCCCCTGCATTCCCAGAGGAGCAGCTTTATCCCC